CGGGAGATACGGGCCCAATAGCGCTGCCAGGCCCCCAATCTCATGGGCCCCATATACCGCCTCCTCATGCTGCGCCAAGTCTAGAGTCCTCTGGGTCCCTGTATCCTCCCATTGCTGCTGTCTCCCTCGCCAACTCGCGCCATGTGCCACTTCAGGTCTCTTTACACGCGGTTTTAAATTTTTTTGACATAGGGTGCAGGGCAGATTAAAAAGGGCCTCACATAGCTGCTGCCACCCCTAATCGCCTGGCCCCATAAAACCGCCTCCTCATGCTGCGCCAATCCCCAAATCTTCATGGGTCCCGTACGGCCTCCCATTGCTGCTGTCTCCATCGCCACACTCGCCATGTCCCCTTTTCAGGCCTTTACACTGCTGGGGTGTTTAATTTTTGACATGGGCTGGCAGATTCCCGGGCCCCCCATTTCTGCTGCCAACAGAACGCCTGGCCCCCGTACCCACTCCCCACTGTGACTTTCAACAAGGTGTATTCAACCCTACAAGGAGTTAGAAAACAACACCCTTTACGAACAGCTAAACCGGCATCCACATAAAGATTTCTACTGTTACAAAGCCGAAGAAGGTACTACACACTGTGTAACTTTAAGATGTCAATAGACCATTGTCAACAGCTCGAGAGTTACACCATTGCGCATTGCTTCAGTTGCGCTTTGTGAGGAGGCCACGCTATTCGTGAGTCGGCAGACCTATGGGAGAATTGAGGTCAATCGGTCCATGGAGGCCCCCGTACCCGCCGGTCACCGCTGATGCTGTCCACATGCCTGACCTGGGTCCTGGAACAGCCTCCCATCTGCTTCCACCTGCATGTGCCACTTTGAAATCTACCCACACTCCTGCGGTTGTCCAATTTGTCAACTAGGTCTTCGCATGCAGATTACAAAGACCTTCCTATTGGTCGCCTAAAACAACCATAAAGCCATATTCGAGGCATGGGCCCTTGTACCGCCTGGTCCCGCTGCTGCTCGGGGCCCCACAGTGTGACCTGGGTCCCTGTACCGCCTCCCATTGCTCCCACTCTGCCATGTGCCACTTTCAGGTGGTTTTGGCCCCGTGACTGGCCAAAGGAGTGAAGTGTGCAGTGATTCTAAGATCGACGGCACTCATCTGCATGTCATACTGACAGACAGTATTATTTCTCTTCCCCAGCAGACTCCAAGGGCATTTAAATTAAAGGTACAGTGTTCTGCACTAATATTAAGTCTCTCTGAAGCCTAGAAACACCCTTTTTTAAGTTAAATTCACAGCGAATTTATTCGACTCGAATCGAATATTGTCCACGAATTCGCCGAATCAGTCGAATCGAATTTTTCATTTCTTCGCTCATCTCTAATCACTGCAATCCACAGAGAAATAGGAAAAAACAGCCGAATGCAGTGAATCTTGAAAGAAGAGAAGCATAGAGAGGGAGGGTTATGGAGGATTTGAAAGTGCTCAGTGGGGATATAAGCAAACCAACTCCACCACCTTTCCACCTACTGGGTCTGGATGAGTGAGTCCAAAGAAAGCCTCCATAGGAAAGTTCTGCAGGAGAAGCAGAATCTGCTGCTTGAAGCCAGGTTTCTGTAATTGCTAGTAGGTTAAGGGAGCGGGAGACAAAAAGGTCATGGACAGAGGTGAGCTTTTTACAGATAGAGCGGGCATTCCAGAGTGCACATGAAAAAGGGAAGGTGGTTTTTAGGAGCATGGGGACTGATATTAAATTAAGCGGATTGCGGCTATTCCCAGAGGAAAGAGGGTGCCTGGTGTGGGGGTGAGATAGTGGAGGTCCAGGGTTTGGGGAGATATCCCCAGAGGTTAGGAGAAGGATGGTGAGGAAAGTAAGGTGGGAGCGGGATGTATATGAGTGCACATGCCTTCCTGTCCTGGTGTTTGGGTCAAGCAGGTGAGTAAAGTATCAGCAGGCGGTGATGAGAGCAGTAGTAGGGAGATGGTAGCAGTGAGGGTGAGATGCATAAGCTTTGGCGTGGAGCAGAGGGGTAAAGAAATGAGATTTTGGGAACACAGGATAGTAATATGAAAAGGAGAAGTAGAGGTGGCATATTAAAAGGTACATGGAGTGCAAATCAGACCTGTAGGAAATGTTTCCAAGGGTGTTTGCTTGCAGTCCATCCAGTGTGCAGTAGAGTTCTTTGTTGTATCTTCCTGCTGCTTGAGTTATCCTGCTTTAGTTAAACTGCTGTGTTCAGTTGCAGCTTCACACTCCAGCATCAAACACACTCACGCAGAGAACTGCACCGCGTCTGACTGTGCCCCCCCCCCCCCTACCCGTCTGTGACCTCCCCCATGAGCTGGTCTAGATTTATAGGGAGATGGTAACTCTTCTCCGCCCCAATTAGGAACAGATAAGGATCACATGAATTGTGGGGGGGGGGGGGTTTCTCAAAGACAGACCAGCCACAGGCACAGGCTAAAGTCATAAAAGAGGTGCAAGAGGAGGTGAGAATCAATTACCACAAACAGACCAAAAGCTATACACTAATTGTTCTGAGCTTTGCAAAAAGTCTATGCGTTGTAGAAATTACAGATTAAGGTGGAGATGAGAGCAGAATTTATCCAGAGCTAGCAGAAGTCTATGCGTTGAAGAAATGATAGATTAAGGTGGAGATGAGAGCAGATGAGAGCAGCATTTACTCAGGGCTAGCAGAAGTCTATTCATTGCAGAAATTACAGATTAAGGTGGAGATGAGAGCAGATGAGAGCAGCATTTACCTGTAAAAAAGCAGAGAAGACATGATTAGGGGGGCTGTGTTCAACTTCAGCTTCACACTCCAGCATCATACACACTCACGCAGAGAACTGCACCCCATCTGACTGTGCCCCCCATCTATATAGAAGACGTATATAAAAAGTATAAGTCAAAAAGCAATGCCCAGTCCATAAGTACCATAAAAATTAAAATTGAATATTGCAAAAGTGATAGAATGACCTGAATACAATATTACCTTAAAGTTGTAAATAGGGTCACGGGATCTCTTGTGTAGTGGTTTATATTGGTTTATATTAAAACCACATAAAAAAGGACTTTTAGAAGCTCTCAGCAATGACATTTTGATTCTTACTGGCTGTTTTAAATTGGTCGACTATTTTTTGGAAGCCGTTCTGGCAGAGTGTGCTATTCCATGTGTCAGATTTGCAAAATGGCAGTGGAGAGAGGAATTTGAAATGCGCGATGCGTTCAAGCCACCATTATGGCAAAGAGAACATCACAGGTTAAGCTGCCAATTTCCGCACCTGTGCACTACCCTCTGGGTGCTGTTCAATACTGCTCTAGTGTGGATCAGAGAGGAGAAGCTGCGGCTGTGCACAGCCACAGGCTATTATCACAGAGCCGACTTACACAGGACTGGGGAGCACAGAGACACATGTCTCTGTTCGATCCCCTAAAAAAGGGGAGGAAGGAAAAAATAGTAATAATAAAAATATATGATTAAAAAAGGGGGAGGGAGCACAGCCTCTACCCAGTATGGGATAAAAAATCTATAATGGGCAAACCGAAAGAGGAGGAGGGTCATGAATTTGATTGTGATTGCTCTATAATAAATGCTGACTGATCAATCATAGCATTGTTAAGTTGAATTGATGATATAATATACACCAATTTACAATTGCAAAGTGAATTAAGAAAAGAGTATTGTGAACATAATTAATAAATAGTTCATAATTACAAACCATTACAAATTACTTTTATATATATATCTATATATGTATGTAAAAATCCAAAAACTCTCTCTCCTACAGAATCTTTGGTGTCTCCTGCCATTATCCAAATCTTTCGGTATGGCCTCTACCCCAAAGACTCTGATCCCACTGTAGTTACTTTGGTGGACTTCTTTAAAGTGACGAGGGACAGAATATTTATCTTTGCAATTCTTAATAATACTTTTATGTTTGCTAATACGAACTCTCAAGGGGCGAGAAGTACGGCCTATATAAAGTAAGCCGCATGGGCACAAGAGACCATACACAACGAAGGACGTCCCACAGTTGATAAACTGTTTAATGGAATATTTATTGGCATCAGAACCAGTAATGTTGTGCTTGCGAAGCCTGGTGAACTTGCAAGTGGCACAGTTAGGAACCCCCTGATATCCATAAAAGGGAAGATACAATGGTGTCACTTTTTTACAAATTGAAACATGCATTAGAAAAAGAGATGATACAATGGTGGGATATTTTATTATTACAGAAATATGGTTAAAGAATATGGTTAAACTTAATTATTGAACAAAGAGAGAGGAATCTTGAACATATCAGATTTGAGATTTCATATCTCCAAGAGGAATTAACTGCCTATACTGATATTACCAGCTTTAACGAATGGGATAATAAAGTCAGTGAACAAATGATGCACTTTGAAACTGAAGTCATCAAGAATAAATCTGACAAATTTGAAAGGGACAGATTAGATTACATACAGGGGTGTGAATTTAACTGGAAACGTAGAGCATCCAAGCCTTCTAATCCATCTTATAACACTATACGGAGAGAAGTTCAAACACAAAATGAGGATAAAGCTAGACCTATGACTACCGGTTGTCAAAGGCCAATCATTTAATAACCTGCACACAGGCCAGAGACATTTACAAGACCATCCTAAGGCCCATTTCTATAACTCACCTAGTTCGTCTAGGAATTTCTATCAAGGATATATAAATAGGAACAATAATAACAAAAAAACAAAAACAGAAACAAAAATAAAATAAAAATAAAAAGATGAATTCCTCTTTTTATCTATTAAACATCCAGCTACCCCCTTTTTCTATCACATCCCAAAAATACACAAAGTTAAAGAAAATCCCCCTGGCAGACCAATTATTGCGGGTATTGCTATTACGAGCAATCTTGGCTACTATATCGATTATTTCCTGAAAGAGATTGTGGTCAATCTTCCATCTTATGTTCAGTGCCCTGATGATCAGTGTACATGTCCCCTCTGAGGAATGCCAATTACCAGCTCTCCTCTCCTTACGAGCTGTCAGCGTGACAGCTTGTGAGGAGAGAAATGCCGATAACTGGTATTACCTTATTTACATGCAATCAGCTGTGATTGGACACAGCTGATCACATGACCGAGCCGACGTCTTCGACTCTTTCCATTGATCGGTGATCCGCTGTGACCGAGGGACATGGTGGACTTAGAAGGGTACCGTTTTTTTTCAGCTACTAATTTATTCATTTCTAATAGATCCAGTTTTTATGCATACACACACACATACATGCATATATATATTGCAAATCTGACACATGGAATAGCACACTCTGCCAAAATGGCTTCCAAAAAATATTTGACCAATTTAAAATAGCCAGTGAGAATCAAAATGTCATTGCTAAGAGCTTCTAAAAGTCCTTTTGTACATGGTTTTAATATAAACCAATATAAACCACTGCACAAGAGATCCCATGACTCTAGTTACAACTTTAAGGTAATATTGCATTCTGGTCATTCTATCACGTTTGCAATATTCAAATTTAAATTTTTTATGGTACTTATGGACTGGGCATTGCTTTTTGATTTATATTTTTTTTTTATACTTCTTCTACATTTTATGTAGCATGTACATATAATAATAGTCACATTCTAATTAATGAACCAAGTATACGTATATAATTTTGTCATCTTTTTAGCATGTATTTATTGGTATTCATATATCTGTATTTGTATTTATATTCAAATTCTAATTTTATGTCTATATACATTTCTGTGTTTTTATATATATATATTTCTATATTTGTTGTGACACTTTGGCCCCACCTTTTATGATGTGTGTGTCCAGCCCATTTGGGAAGGTTCACACATAGAGATGGACTATATATAGAGGAGGGTTATCTCAGTCTGGTTAGCTCCGATGAAGAAGGGACCACCCCCTTCGAAACACGTCAGCTTCACCCTGAGAGTCTCCCCTTTCAATGGGATATGCACGTGTCTCCTAATCCAATGATTCGATTTTGGATTCTATATGCCTTTTATATTGCTACTTTGTGAGTATATCTCTTAAATCAATAAATCTACTAATTGCTTACTGAGGTAATACGCAAGGTTGGTGCGCTCTGTTTTTTGTTCTCTACTACAGTTTGTATCGAGCTTCCCCAGCTTTGTGTTAGAGCTGCACAACCTTTGATCAGTCTTGGATGAACTTCCATATATCCTAGTATATATTGGTCTATCGACCCTGTACTAATCTGGGTCCCTGAGCGCA